TCAGGATTCAGCCTGTCAGAGCAGGCAGGCCCTGAGAGCGTGGGGGCCGCCACGAGTGGACTCAGCAGCACCTTCTCTGAAGGGGCAGAGCCCCCAACCCTGTTGGTTCCAGAGGCTTGAAGCCACACACACAGGGCCTCTGGCTAAGTGAAGCGTGGTCCTAATCAGATGCTCACACAGGAGGGAGGGCCTCAAATCCGCTTTCAGCCAGGGGAGCGGGGAGCAAATGGCATCACATCGGTGCCCCCCACACCCGCCCAGTGCAGGCCATGCCAGGAGGCCGCTGGGGGCACACCTGACTGCGGCAGGGGCTGCGGGCCACCGGGTAAGCTGAGTCAGGATGGCAGGACAGCCGGTCGTGAGGGATGCAAGAGTAACAATGGTTTTGTTGAGTTTGTTTCAAATGTTCTCAATATGATGCTTTCACGTGTACAAAAGGAGAACTGGGAGAAGTTTAAAAAAAAAAAAAAAAGTCAGCCAGAGACACAGCAGGAAACTTAGCACCGGGGAGACCAAGATCTGTCAGCCTGTTTCCTTTCAAAACATAATGTGTCCTTTAAGTCAACAGAGTAGCTCTACCACACATTTAAATGCTGCCTATGCCCCCGTCACTACCACCACCAGGTCTCAATCCCACACGAACGCCAGCTGGACACCAGGACACGCACCAGAGTCTACTGCTGCATGGCTTCTAACAGCACACAAACAAGAAAAGCAGCGCAGCTGTGCTTCCAGCAGGTAAGAGACTGGGTAAGTGACAATACAGCCACACAGCCGCACCCTGGAGTACTATGCAGCCAGGAAAAAGAACGAAGCTGCCTCACTGAGCAAATACACAGGACAAAAGCCTCGGTGGAATGTGTTTGGTGGATCCTACATGTGTGTTTTTAAATCACCTACTCCATGGATGCACGTGCTTGCGTGTATACACAAAAGTCCATTAGAAGGGTCTGGAAAGGGATGCACCAGTAAAGGGCAACAGTGGTTAGCTGGGGGAGGGGAGGGTTGCACATTCTGTCTACACACTTCTGCACTGTTTGAAGAGTTTCACAACTAGGCCCACTGGCAGCCTGCGACTGTGGGCGAGCAGGGGCGGGAGCTGCTGGCCTGGCCGTGTCCTAGACAAAGTGCTGGCCTTCTGCCAGCTTGGTTTGCTCTGGGCGAAGGAGATCCTGGCCAGCCACCCTCCACTCTGACAGGCTGCCTTTCCAACGCAGCTGCCCAGGGGAGCACCTGCCAGGGGTCCGGGCGGGCAGTGTGCTTAGAAACCATGTTCTAAAGCCAGAGTTTGGGTTGGGGGAGGGGACCTAAATCCTTGCCCCAGTAATCTCACTGGGGATCGAATCCCTCGTTCAGTGGGTCAGGGTAAATTTCAAAGAAATCCTGCCCCAAATTATCACAGGAAATGGCTGAGACAGTGAAGTCTCACTCTACTTTCCACCCCACCCCACACAGGGCCAGGTGGCTAGGAACATCTCTCTGGGGCTGCAGGAGGGAGGGGCTGTGTCCAGCACAGTGCCCACCTTCCTGGTCAGGCCCCCAGAGCTGCTGAGACGGGCCCAGCCCAGGGTGCAAGGAGAGGTTTTCGCCACTAGCGCTGGAGGGAAAACAGGGCACAGAGGCATTGTGAAAACAATCCTTTGTGGGAACAAATAGGTAGGAATGTATTTGTGATATGTCTGCCTAGAAAGACTGCGGCCACTCTGCTTGGTGCTCACCAAGGACCCCCTGCCCCCCGCCCCATCCTGGACAACAGGCAGGAACCTCCTCCAACATGTGCGACCTGGACAGCTGCGGGGGGTGGGCGGGGAGTCTGCCCTCAGAGGGGTCCAGAGCTTCCCTTCTCTAAGTCCTTGAATTTTCAAATCAGAGCCCTTCAGCCTCCAAGAAAATCTGTTCCTGGTCTAGGCAGTCCCCAAAGCGAGTCTTAGCAAACCTCCCAGGTCTGGGCTGGGAAGCTACGAACAAGCAAATAACAAGGGGCTCAAGTTGCAAAGACGTTTGTGTCTCTGTTTTGTTTTATCATGAGCTTGCTATCACATCAACAGTTACCTAAATGTGACAGAGGGTCATGAGTTCCTAGGATGACCATTGGGGGACCACACAGCCACAGAGCTAACCAGGACAAGCAGCAGCTCTTTGCGTGCAGTCGGTTAGGGGTGGGGGTGGGAGATCAGAGCAGAGCCAGGAAGCCCAGGTGCCCCCAGAGTCAAAGATGCCCCTAGGGGACTTCCCTAGCAGCCCAGAGATTAAGACTTCACCTTCCAATGCAGGGGGTGAGGGTTCAATTCCTGGTTGCGGAGCTAAGATCCCACATGCTCCGCAGCCAAAAAAACAAAACATAGAACAGAAGCAATACCGTAGCAAATTCAATAAAGACTTTAAAAATGGTCCACATCAAAAAAAAAAAAAAAAACCATGACCCTAGGAACTCTCAAAGTAATTTCACGTACACACATCCTCGTTTCCCGCACACCTTCCAGGTGGTCAAGGGAGACATCACCAAGCTGCAGGGAGACCTGGGAACCAGTCCCTGGTCACAAAGCTAGGCAGAGCAAGGTGCCAACTGCCTCCTTGGCTACAGGTCATTTTGGTATTCACTCCCCACCATACAATCGCTATGGGAGTAGGGGGGGTCCCTAATGAAAGGCCTGGCATGACCTGAGCCACTGCCTGCAGAGACCACCCCTCCCACCACAGAACACTCTGGGAGCCCACAAACCAGGGGCTGTTGCTCGGGTCTTCCCAGGGTCACCTCTCGGTCACCCCCTGCAGCCAACTTGCCTTTCCTCTCCCTTCTGTGGGCTACCTCTGTCCCCTCTATGAACACCAGTGACTTATGCTCTGCACACCTGGGCTTAGCCTGGAAATAGGCTTCCTGGAGGTGCCCTGGACCAGAGGTAGATTCTTGGTTCATAAGCAGATTCACCTGGGGGACCCCTTAAACTGCAGTCAACATCTGGTACCTGGAAATCTGCATTTCCGAAGGCCCCAAGGGAACCCTGTGCACTCCTGACTTGGAGGTCTACAACTGCTCTGGAGGTGGGGCTCCAGAGTTTCTGCACACCTGGAGGTTGGGGCCGGCTTCCTGCTCTAAGAACAGACACAGTACTTTGCAGGCAAAGTACGGATCCATCCTCTTCTGGCTGTTTTGGGCTTACAGGCACCCCAGAGAGGCTGGCTTCCACCCCACTGTGAAGGCGCGGGTTCCCAGCGCCCCTGACTCAAGCATCTAGCCATCCTGCCCTGTGCTGCGCAGGGCACATGGACCCTGGACCAGGGGGGCTGAGGCAACCCGGAAGGCATCCCCCGGCGGAGGCCCGGGCGAGCCCCGCCCCGGGCCAGTCCCTCCGCAATTCGCGAAGCTGGCTACCGGGTGCTGCCGGGTGGAAGGCCACAGTAAAAGAGGCTGCAGAAAGGTTTTCCAATCAAGTTCCCTACCCAGTACTGGCCTCGCCTCAACGAGGTACTCAACCCCAGCCGCACCCCAAACCCTGGCCCCGCCCAGGTACTCGGGGTCCACCAGGCTCCAAACCTCGCTTCGCCCCTCCCCCACGACCACACCCACTCTTGCAGTAACGTCCCCACCCCCCTCATGAGTCCACACAGCCCGAACTCTGACTCAGACAGCCTAGAAACGGCCCGCCTTCACCCGCGACCCCACCACCTGCCACGTGGTTTGAGCGGCCACAGCGTGGGACCAGAAATGCGGGGACAGCCTCGGGGGGGAAGAGGTCGTGAGATCCACGGTACCTGACACCCGCAGACCTTGGGCCGACTCAGTTCCAAATGTACCGGGAGAAACAGCCTTTCAGCTCTAGGTTCTTGAAGACTACTGCGGTTTTTAAATCAGTCATGTAATCAGTTTGTGAGTTATTTTACAAATGAGAAGATGAAACCTTTGATCACGAAGTTAATAGTATAAAGGCTTAAAAACTGTCCCAAAGGTGGAAGACCTAAGTGTCCAGAAGAGTTCGCGTAAGCTCAGATGAAATACACGATTCTTTAAACCAAACTGGGAAAGAAAGGTTGTTTACACATTAAAAGGTTGTTTCCACTTTTGTGTTTAAAAAACAAAAAACCACCACAGAGGAATCAATGACAAAGTCCCGGACTCGCGCGAAGGGAAATGCTGCCCTGGGGTCGGGGGCGGGCGGCGGTCCGCGGATCCCAGGCTGCCGGCTCCGGCCGCCCGCCCCCGTGCAGGTGCTGCCTGCCCGCATCCGGCCCCGGCAGGTGAGAGCACGGCGGGGAGGAGGGCGGCGCAGACCCACGGGCAGGAGGCAGGGCGCTCCTTTCGAGAGAAAGCGCAGCGGGCCCCAGGAGCCCCTCGGGTCCGGCGCGCCCCCGCCGGCCGGATGGGCGGGGCTCCCACAAAGAGCCGCGAGAGAGGACCCGGGACCGCCCCCCGCGTCGGCCGCCGCTGGCTCTGGTTTCGACAAATTAAACCTTAGAGCGCTGGAAAAATTACAGGAAGAGAAGAGCGAAGAATGTGCCGAGTGGCTGGAGGCAGCCCTGTCCCCGCGTGAACTCCGCCCGCCGCGCGCCCGGGCCGGCCCCTCCCCACCCGAGCGCGCGCCCGGCCGGCGGGGGAGGGGCCGGGCGAGGACACCCCTCCCCCGCGGCTCCCGGGCCGCCCACCTCCCCCGGCCGCAACCGCGGCCCCCACCCAGCTAGCCGGCACCTGCCCTTGCGCCCCCCGGCCTGGGCGGGGTCCCCGCCCCCGGCCCCGGCCCTGATGACGACGATCGCCCCCGCGGCCCCGCCCGAGCGCGCCCGGGGAGGGGGCGTGCCCGGCGGGGGCGCGGTCGCCGGGCGGGCGCCGGCTCCCAGCGCCGGGACCCGCCTCGCGCGGTGCGCGGGGTGTCGCCCGCAGCCCCAAGCGGCTCGGACAGGGGCGAGGCCCCTACCGTTCCCGGCCCGACCTCCCCTCGCTACCCGCCGGCGGCTCCGGGGGCGTGGCCGGGCAACTCGCACTGGCCCCGGGCCGCCCCACTGACCTGTGTGAGTTCTCAGGTGCGCCTTGAGGTGCGAGGATTTCCCGTAAACTTTCTCGCAGCCCGCGTAGTGGCACTTGTGCTTTCTCTGCGGGGACTCGAGGTCGGCGCGACTTCGACCCCGCCGGCCCCTTTGTCTGAGGCCGGGCTCGCCGCTCCCCGCGGGCCCCGGCTCTCGCTCCGGCTCCAGCCCCGCCTCGGGCTCGGGCTCGGGCTCGCTCCACGCCGGGCTGAGGGGCGCGGCCGCCGCGCCACCGGCGCCGGGGGAGGTGGGCTCGGAGGCGGGTGGTGGCGCGGGCGGCAGGCGGCAGGGGGTCCTCGCCTTCCGGGCCGCGGCGCCCTCTCTGCGCTCCGCGGGGGCGGGCGCTGGCGCTTGTTGGTTAAGGTCCGCCAGGATCCGCGCCACTACGAAGAGCGAGGCGCTGTCCTTGCCGTCGCGGCGCTCTTCGACGCGGGGCAGCGTGGCGGCGACAGCGGCCGCGCCCTCGGGTCCGGGCTGCGGCCCCTCCCGCGGCCCGTGCACAACCGCGCGGCTCGACATGGACACGAGGCACTCGGCGGCGAAGTGGTCCACATAGGCGGCGGCTGCCATGCTGCGGGCTCCGGCCGGCGGGCGGGCGGCACTGCTGGTCGCTGCGAGTCGTCAGCGGCGCATCCGCACCCACGGCCTCCGGAGAGCTGGCGGGGGGCGGGGGCGCGGCGCGCCCTCTCCGCGGGCTGGGCTGGGCGCGCAGCCGCCTCTGCCGTCACCCGCGCGGCTCCGCGTCTGCGAGGCGCCCGCCTGGCTGGGCACCGAAGAGTGAGCGCATGGGGGGCGCGGGCGAGTTGGGTCCCCGCGGGGCGTCAGGGGAGGCCTGCCCTAAGGATGCCGAGTGGCGACGTTAGGGACGACCGCGCCAAGTCGCGGCCGCAGCCTCGCCGCGCATTGTGGCAGGCGGGACAGCCGCCGCGCGCGCCGCGGCTCGGTGTGGGCGGCCCGGCCCCGGGGGTGGGCGGGGCCGGGGCCACATCTGGACCCGACGTCAGCCCCCAGCCACATCCTGGCGGCGCAGGTTACAGGCGGCGGCGGCGGCAGCGGAGAGCTGCGCACGCGGAGGGGGCGGGGATCCCGGAGCGCGCATCGGCGGGATGGAGCGGTCACGCGCCCACGCCTGGGGAGGAGGCGTGGCCGAGGACAAGGGCGGACGCCATTGGCCCTCAGGTTCGCGGCAGGGCCAATCCGTACAGAGAGAGGCGCCCACCCGGCCTCGGGGCGTGCGCGTGCCGATGGGCGTGCCCCCTTGGCCGGCGGGAGGAGGGGCGGAAATTGGAGCCCGGAGCCGGGCACGCTGACGCACGACGTCCGAGGGCGGTGGGCTGGGGCGGGGCCGCGCCCCCTCCTTTCTGCGGCGGGGACCCCGCGGGGTATTTTCCTGTCGGAGCTTTTGTACCGTGACAGCCTTGAACCCCGGCGCGGAGACGAGCGCTCTGAAGGGCGCCCCTTTGTCCCTCTAGCCCCGCCTGTGCTGGGCGCGGCGGAGAGCTCGCCTTGCGGGGCTCGCCTCCGCTTCTCCCTTTCCTCTCCGGAGTGAGGTGCCCGGCGAGGAGGCGTGTCCGCTCCAGCCGGCGCGGAACAACCTCGCCGCACCCCGCCGAAGCCGGGTTCTTGGGCGGCCTCGCCGCGAGAAAGATCGCTCGCCCTCTGCACGCTCCTCCCCTGCTGAGAACGGCGCTCGGCCCTGCCCGGCCGGGAGCGGGGTCTCGGGTGGGGAGCGGCCACTCCCGCCGGAGGGACCCGGAGCTTCCCGACCGTTCGGCGGCCGGGGATCGAGCCGCGCCGCGCTGCCCTTGAGCCCGGGTCATCCGGAGCCCGGCTGGCCCCAAGCTGGTGGTTAGCCTGGCAGCGCGGGTGATGTGTCCACCGCGTCTTGCGTTCGCAGGAGTGAACTACGTGCCGGGGCGTCGGCGCCGCCGCTTAGGGAACGCAGGGCCCCTTCCTCCGCCTCCCCTCCCCAGGCCCGCTGCCAACTTCTCCCGGCTGCCCCTCTCCCACCTCGACCGGGGAGGCTTCAAAAGCCACCGGCTGCGAGGGCCCCGCCCACCGCGCCTCACCCACCCACTGTCGGGCCTGGCGAAGGAAATGCTCCCTGCCCCGCCCCGCCCACTTGCCCTTGGCCCTCACCGGCGCCCTCACCCTCACTCTTCTCTAGGCCCCGCCCCCCCGCCGTTCTGCTACAGGCCTAGGCCATCACCATAGAGGGTAGAGACCGGAACCGATCGCAGCAAGCCCCTGACCCGGGGAGACTGGCCGGCGTCTGCAGCTCTTAATGGACGTTCAAACATGTCAGCTGCCCGCGGGGAGCCTGGAGAGGGCGGGCAGCCCAGGCACTGGATCCCTGCGGACCGGAGAAGAGGGGTGGGTGGGACAAAGTCATTCTGCGCACAAAATTAATAGCAGCCATTCTCACAGAATTAATTTGGGGCCTGGGTAGAAAAATCTCTTTCCAGGTCACTAAGGAGGAACGGAGACAGGCATTCTGCGTTGCATGTCATGGTGACCTGTAAACTGGTGTGGACGTTTGGGCGCCCTGGGTATCTGTGACTAAAACCCTAAAGTTCCTTCTCACTGGTGGAGTCCGTGCCCCCGGGAAGACCACACGGCATGCTATTTGGGGGGGGGGCTCTGTACCAGACAGCTGGGTCAGGTTCCTCTAAGATGGTCTCCTATTGGCAGGAAGTAGTCATTCTTCTCCCAGGCAGATTGTGTTGATGACATTTCAGAGATTTGTGTTCTGACCAAATAATGATTCAGAATGTTCCTGCAGTCTCACCACATGTCACAATCAGTCACTTCATTAAGGATGGAGCTGGCCCTACGTTGACTTACCAGCCACCCATCCCCTCCCCATCCCTCTCCAGCCAGCAGTATTCTGCCCAAGTCTTCGAGGTACCACATCTCTCCACTTTCTCCATGATCCCTCAGGACACCCCAGCCTAGGACACACACCCAGGAGTAGGCACCCTTCTAGACATTAGGCTTTGACCATTGACAAGACACCTGCCCTGGGTGAGGGGAGGCAGGCCTGGGTCAAGGGTCATCTGCACTGACACATACCCCACCCCCATCCACAGCCCGAAACAGCCCACAGGCCTCCGCCTGGATGCAGCCTCCCTGAGGATTTTGGCTGTGCCCCTGTGGCATTCTGGAGGCAAAACTCAGCCCCTTGGTTTATTTCTCAGGCCTTTAATGATTGTTCATGGGGACTTCCCTGGTGGTCCAGTGGTTAAGACTCCACGCTGCCAATGCAGGGGGCCCGGGTTCGATATCTGGTCAGGGAGCTAGAGCCCACATGCATGCCGCAACTAAGGAGCCCGCCTGCTGCAACTAAGACCCGGTGCGACAAAATGAATAAATGTTTTACAAAATAAAATAAAATAAATAAATGATTGTTTATGGAAGGAGGCCCCAGGGCCCAGCAGACTACCCCAATCCCACATGGGAGTATCTTCCAGATACATATAGTTGTCTTCCCCAGAGGAAAATCTCACCATAGCCACGGGCCCGTGTTTTCCTTGCTTAAGAGGATTTTGACAGAGGTGGCTTCTGTACGTATGAGGTGGGTGAGGATCTAGTGTCAGATGGAAGGAACAGGATAAACAAAAGCAGGGTAGGGAGGATCAGCCCAGAGAAAGTGAATGGGGATGTGTCTGGAGTGAAGAGGCTGGACTGGAAAGGGGGCTGAGGTTTCCGCTGGAGGTGGTGGATTGACAGTATGTGTTGACTCTGACTTTTGGAGCCTCCTGACACAGGAGTAAGTTTGCTTGCTCTAAGGCAGAAATTGGCAAGAATGGGGCAAGCAAGGGAAGAAGTAACTGCAACAGGGTTGTTGAAGCTAAAATACTCAGCAGTCCTGAGAAAACGAAATCTTGAAATGGTAGCCAGGAAGGAAAACCAAGAACAAACTCTGGAGTCCCCCGAAGGTTCACCAATGGATGGCACTAGGCACCTCTGGATGCGGGCGTGAATGGAGGCTAAGATAATAGCTGGCATAAAGTCTGCTTAAGAAGCGCCCAGATCCTCTCACCAGATCTGTGCTGCCTTCCCCATCCTGATAAAAGACTAGATGTCTGTCATCTAAAGAAGGTAAAAGGATACATCTTGGGCTGAGAGATACCATTCACAATTAAGGGCAGAGGTTCCATAATAGGAACAGAGAGGTTAAATGAACCTATAGGTGTTAGATGCTGAGAACATGCCCCATCCCCTCTTCTGGGTTTTCAGAATGGCCGCAGCCAGGAGGCTGAAAGGGTCTTTCCTGGGGCATTAGACCAGGCTGAGGGGAACACCTAAACTTTCTGACACCTGTGGTTGCCCAAGGGAGCAGCCAGACCACCCTAGAGGGAAGGGCGCAAGTAATGAGCCCCAACGTGTGCAGAGCTTCTAATCGGGGTTTCACAGGCAGCCGAAGCTGACCCAGCATCTCAGGAAAGCCTGTGTCATGAAACCTAAAGCCCAATAGATTTTTTTAAATCAACTTGGAGGAAACAGAGACTATGCAGAGAGAAGTACATGGCAACGTAGTCATCAATAATGTCATCAGAGAAAATATGGCAACCCATGAAGCGAGATCACATATAAAGAAACATTCGGAGAACAAACAAAAAGTGTTCTTGGAAATTTAAAGTAGCAGAAATGAAAAAAAAACAAAACCTCCAGAGAGGGATTGGAAGATAAAGTTGAGGAAATCTCTCTGAAAGAAGAACAAAAGGAACCCCAAAAATGGGAAGCAGGAGAGAAAAAAATAAAGGACCATCCAGAAAGTCCATCGATCAAATAATAGGAACCCCAAAGAGTGATCAGAGAAACACAGGTGGCAGGGGGTGGAAGTGGGGGGAATCATCATTTAATTCATCCTTAAAAAAATCTCTAAAACTCAGGGGCATGCACTGAAAGGGCCCACAGGGAGCTCAATGGGAAAAAATAGTTCTACCCCAAGGCACATCACTGTTGAAGTTCAGAATAATGGGGACCAAAGTGTCCTGACATTAGAAGTAGGTCACACAGAGATGGTCAGGAGCCAGAAGGCGAGAGGCAAAGCCTTGAGAATCTAAAGGAAAATTATTCTCCAGTCTTTACCCAGTGAAAATATTAACCAAGTACTGTGAGATGAATTAGATCTGAAAACTTTTACCCATGGGTTCTTTCTCATGGTAGGATGCTACCAGAGATAATTCTTCACCAAAATAAAGAAGCCAATGGAGAAAGAGGGAGGCATGTGATCCAGGAAGGAGGCATTCAATGCAGAAGGGAGGGGAGGGGTGCAGAGGGCCACCAGGCCAGGCTGGAGCAGGTTAAATGCTCCATGGACATTTCGTCAGGAGGTGAAATAGACAGGATCCCTGTATCCATCAGGAGAAGCTGGGCCCGAAGTACAAACCACCTGCAAATCTCAAAGTTTTTTTCTGGGCTTCCCTGGTGGCGCAGTGGTTGAGAGCCCGCCTGCCGATGCAGGGGACACGGGTTCGTGCCCCGATCCGGGAAGATCCCACATGCTGCGGAGCGGCTGGGCCCGAGATCCATGGCTGCTGAGCCTGCGTGTCCGGAGCCTGTGCTCTGCAACGGGAGAGGCCACAGCAGTGAGAGGCCCGCGTACCGCAAAAAAAAAAGGTTTTTTTCTGGCCGTGCTACACATCCATCGTGAGTTGCCTGGGGACACCCAGGTCGATGGAGCAGCCTCTGTCTAGAACATGCCGGTCGCCATGGTAGAGGGACCCAGAGGTGTCCCTCATGCTTTCTTTCACACAAGATATACTGTCCCTCTCCCCAGGTGGGAAAACTTTTAAATCCTGACCTAGGGGCCAGAGACAGGGAAATCGGAGATGAGAAGGAAAACAGGGATTTGAGGCCAAGGGAGGTAGCATCCTGCTCGAGATCGAGGACCTCTGTAGGCGGCTCCACCCCACTCGCAGCTCCAATACACAATCTCAA